CTCTCTCTCTCTCTCTTTCTGTCTGTCTCTCAGGAGGCCATCATCACCAGCCTGCTGCCTGAAACCACATATTCAGTGACTGTGGCGGCATACACCACTAAGGGAGATGGAGCACGCAGCAAAGCTAAAGTGGTGACCACAACAGGGGCTGGTGAGATTGTGTGTTTAAGGGTTCAATGAAAGAGTTTAAGTGCATTTAGAGGTAAAAAAAAAAAGTTAAACTGTAGTTTAAACCTTCAAACTCAAGCCCACGATGACCTCACAGTGACCTCCACTGTCACTGTAGCTGTATTTGTAGCTTTATACCCATTTCATCTTCTGAACAATCTGGCCGAAGTACTGCAAGTTAAATAGAAGTGGATATTAATTCACATCATTCTTCTTATAGGGTAGGAGAGGATTTATCCATGTAGTGCTTTACAAAATGAACTAGAGTGACCATATTGTCTTCCAAAATAAAATAAAACTGTACAATATTGGAAAACATTGACACTGCTCAACAGTATATGTATATATAAATATATAGATAAATGTAGATATAGATATACTGTATATGATTATATATTGCAATAATACTATTATTATATAATTTAAAAAAAAAAAAGTTTAGTACAGCTGTACAATTACAGGACTGTTTAATTCTTTATTTTCAAATGTTAACCCATCAAATATTTATTTTGACATTTTGCCTGCAAATAAATATATGTGCTGCTGTTTTCAGAGCTAAGTGCACCACTATGTTCATCATGTACACGTGTGCAGCTCATGATATGCCGTCTCAGAGCAGATTGATTCTCAGTAAATTAACAAAACCACTGTGAAACTCTTAAAAAGGATTATGAGCTACATGCATGTAAATGAACTCACTATTGCTATTGTTGTATCGCAACCATTTTGCAAAATGGGTTTTTTCTTTGGTGTAGCCCTATACCAAAATGCCATAGTTACTGAAATCAAATTACATTAAAGGGACAGTTCACCCAAAAATGGAAATTCTGTCAGCATTTATTCACTCTCAAGTTGGTCCAAACCTGTACGCATTTCTTTCTTCTGCTAAACACAAAAGAAGATATTTTGAAGAAAATTGGCTAACCAAATAGTTTCTGGTCCCTATTGACTTTCATACTATGGAAAAAATATATATATTGTAGAATCAATGGGGACCAAAACCTGTTTGAGTGTTTTTTGGTGAACTATGCCTTTAACTCAGTATTATCCCTGTCACTGGTAGTTCCTGGCAAGCCCACCATGATCATTAGCACCACCATCGGGAACACAGCTCTGATCCAGTGGCAGCCGCCGAAAGAGATGGTGGGCGAACTGATGGGTTACAGACTACGCTATAAGCGTGAAGAAGAGGAGACTTACAGCACCCGTGACTTCAGACGCGCCGATGACCACTTCACCGTCACTGGCCTGCACAAGGGTGCCACCTACATCTTCAAGCTCTGCGCCAAGAACCGCGCGGGAAATGGAGAGGAGTACAGTAAAGAGATCAGCACCCCAGAAGATGTCCCCAGCAGTTACCCACAAAACCTCAGAGTGGTGGGCCTGACAACCACCACCACCAAACTGGCCTGGGACCCTCCGCCTCTGCCTGAGAGGAACGGGAAGATCATACGTTACGTGGTGGTGTACCGTGACATCAACAGCCATCAGAACCACACCAACGATACCGCCGAGATGCAAATGACCATCCAGGGTCTGCAGCCGGACACCACCTATGACATCAGGGTGACGGCGTTCACGGGTAAAGGAGGGGGTCCAATCAGCCCCAGCATCCAGAGCAGAACCATGTCTACATCCATGCCTGGTGAGTTTTTAAAGAGCTCTGAATGACAACTATTTTCATGATCTGTTCTTGAACGTCTGCATTCATCCATCAATGTTGATGAAACGGCACTAAAATACTCTTGCATTGCAATTCAGAAGTGATGAGGCACCATTATTGAATTTATAACATCATAACGAAATTATGTTTTATTTGAGCTGTGAGTTTGAGTTGAATTGTGCAATCTGAACTGAATGTGATGAGAGTAAAAAGAAGGAAGACATCTTTTATTGCGACATGCTCACTGGTTAAAATGATTGCACATAGTCTGATTCAGGAATAAATCATTCTAATGATCGGTTTTTAATGCATCAGTCAGAAAAGACTCACTAATCAGTTGTGAAGTAGCTGCTTCTAAAGTTCTAAAGGAATCGTTAATGGAATCATTAAGGAAGCAAAATTGGAATTCAAATCAAAACTGATCTCAAAGCTGTATTTACCAGAGAAAATCTTTATTGCTCTGATGTTGCTCTTGCAAATCTCAGGAGAGTTAAAGATTTAATGGAGGGCTTATTTATGTTTTAAGAATCAACTTTGATTCAGATATTTGTGCTTTAAATTCATTTGATATAATTAGGATATTCACAGATTGCTGTCAAATAGGAAGAATTCAACATGAAGTATATGAGACATTAAGAGCTCTTAAAGTGCTACGTAGTGTTATTTTAACATTATTGATATACTATTATATTTTGTGTTTATCATTTGAATTAGTTTTTTTATATATTTTCTGTTTTCATTTCATTTTTTTTTCAATTCTAGTGAAAATTTTAAGTAATTTTGTTCTGTTTTGACATTTTATTCGTTTTTACTGTTTTTAATTACGTTTTTGCTTAGTTTTTAGTTTTATTTATTTTAGTACATCAACTTAAATTAAACAAAAAAAATAAACGTTGCTTTGGCAGCTATCTGCTATAAAAATTATGTTATTTTATTATTTTATTTTATTTCAGTGTTCATGTTTAAGCAATGTTTTGTTTTTGTTTTTTTTAATGATTTTAGTTTTAGTTAACAATAATAGCCCTGGCTCTTGAGGGTTTTCTCTCAGAATAAAAATCAGAGAACTGGGAGGTTTAAGAAATAAATATCTCTATTTGATTTCTATTTAATCTCACTGTTGCTTGGAAAACCAACTGAGACATTAAAGAGATCTCATTTGTGGTTTTTCTTGGCTAATGATTTGGTCCAATGAGATTTCCCAGTGCAGTGTGATAAAAATAGAGCCTAGCAACTGAATACATGTCCGATGCGTGACTCTGGACAGTCACAGCTGTTTCGACAAAATCTTGAATTATCTTGGACAAGATTCAGTGTGTTCAATGGTCATGAATAACATTAAGTTCCGTCCAAAATTCAGTTTCAATCGAAATGTTTTACAATATAGATGTAAAGTGTGCATTGAAAAGCACTCACACTGAGCAGATGGTTGGAGAGGAAGCAGACGTGCAGTTTGTGAACTGCAGTCACTGCAATCTCCACATACGGCCCATCTTCTGATAGAAAGATGAAGGTTTTGTTCACCCTCATGTCGTTCCCAAACTTGTCTGATTTTCTTTCTTTCTTCCATGGATCATATGGAGTACCTTTTTGTTAAGTTTGGAGCTCAACAGTATCCGTTCCCATTTATTTTCATTTCATATTCCTTTTGTGTTCCATGGAAGAACGTAATGCAGGATTAGAACTAGGCCTGGTTTTTTAATTTTTTTTATTTAATTGTATCATTTTTCAGGTTTGCTTGGCTCCAGTGTGAATGTAAAGTGGATTAATATTATGGATGAACAAAAATAAAAATATTTTATCTTTTAAAATATTATTTTCAAAGCATTAAAGAGAAATGTACGGGGCTACTTGGGTTTCCAAATAAAATATAAATAATGTATTAAGCTTAGCTCATACTGTAAGTAACATTAGCAAAACAGACAATTAAATCATTAATTGCAATTATATCTTAATTATATAAACTATCCCTTTAAATATGTCTGCTGAGATGGTGTCATCATTTCTCTGCATTCTGACTTCTCATCTTCCTTATAGCATAAGCCACATGCAGATAACAGATAGTTGGCTTTGATTTTTCATGTGTGGTTTGAGATGAAGATGTATGTACAGCATGTTAATCAGTGCAGTCTCTTTACACAGCATTGCGGTTCCTCTGTGTAAATACATCTGTGACATATGCAGTAATTTTATTCTCACCTCCTCTGCAGAGTTCACTAAAAACTTTGGTGTGAAAGCTGTGATGAAGACCTCTGTCCTGCTCACGTGGGAGGTGCCAGAAACCTACAAGTCCCAAGTGCCTTTCAAGGTGAGATGCTGCAGTCATGAAGCAGAAGCGCAGTGTAAAATGAATCTCATTGTGTGACTGAGTTAACCTGTGCGCCCCCTGCTGCCAGATCCTGTATAACCAGCAGAGCGTCGAGGTACAGGGCGACCTGAAGAGGAAGTTGATCACGCGCCTGCAGCCGGACACGGATTACTCCTTTGTGCTGATGAGCCGTGGGAACAGCGCCGGCGGACTGCAGCAGCAGGTCTCTATCCGCACCGCCCCGGACCTGTTCACCACCAAATCAGCCCTTCACAAACAAGACCCAGAGGAGGGCGGCAAACTCACCATCACTCTGCCCAAAATACACAACAGCGCCCTCGTCAGGTCAGTCAGAGAAACGCTGTAATCTTGTGCAGCCAGCAGTTCTTCACTGGTCATGTTAGTGTTGTCATCATTATTGATCTTGCCACCTATATGGATAGCATAGCTTCCAACAGCACTGCAAGAACTCTAGTTCAGAGTGAAGCGCGGCACTGTGTTAATTTACACGTGAGCAGCTCATGATCCTGTGTTTTCAGCTTGGTTCATAGTAAAAGCTGCTGCACGAGCTTCATCTCTGCTGAGCTGTTAAATTGGCTTGCTGATAACGTGCATTTGAAAATGCAACACACACCAACCATCTTCCTAAATTTGTAATGGGAATCATTTATAAATCAACAACAGAGAAAAAGGTGTCAACAAAAGAGAAGCTTAAAGGTCACTACCAAAAAAAAAACAGTTTTTTGTTTGTTTGTTTTTTTGCTTTTTTTTTAATTGAAGCAAAATTATACTAAAATAAAATACAATTACTCTAATCAGTATTAGTAGTATATATTAAATTCTCATTTTTTGTTTTACAGTACATACTATGTCAATAGAAATATGTTACTTTATTAATTTGTTTAATTTTTACATTTCTTATTTTTCATTGTTATTATTATTATTATTATTGTATAGTCATATAGAATGGGGGATATCTGAGTGAAGAGTAGCAGAGAGTTTCAGTACAGTATGTGACATTTCTTGGCTTTGAATAAATAAATAAGATAAAGAAAATGTCACAAAAAACACTTTGTTCTACTAAAATACATTACAACTCTGCACTCTGACCATTTCAAGTTTCACCACATATAGTTTATTGTTCTGTAGTGCTATTAACAACATGATACATTACGTTGTAGCTGCTCTGATTATGACTGATATGTATTTTACCTGTTATTAAATCTGCAAAACAAATTTTGCTGCGGCTGTACATGTCGAGACGAGTGATTCCCCAGGTTTCCATTTCGTCTTGTTGCTGAGTTGTTTGTGTCCTCGGCATTTTTCATTCAGCTTCTTTTATTCATATAGTTGACAGATCTGTTGTTGCTGTTGTTGTTTTCGCTTCATTTGGCATGCAAAAAAACAAAAAACTAAACAAAAAAAACCTTTCCAAACATTGTTGAAATGTCTCTTTATTTTCCCCCAGTGGGAATAGTTTTCCCCTATAAAAACAATGTTTTCTGTATCAATGGTTTGCATTGCATGACTTGGATCAATAAAAACTGAGAGTACATTACTGTACTGTACATTGCTTGTGGGCTACATTAAGTGCTTTGACACTAAACAGAGGAAAAAAACACAAAACTATTGTTTTCTTTTTCAATGATTGACGTTTTATGTCAAAGCAACCATAATCATTACTGTTCATCTATTGCAGCACCGTTAGCACTGCTATTCCTCACCCTTTATCTTAAAATAGCTCATGTGTTGTCTCTCAGGCGATGTTTGCTGGACTCTCAGAGTTCTGCCAGCGCACGTAGACAAGAATCCTGTTCCTCTCTGGGCAGATATTGGACCGTTGTGTTTTAGCGAGACTGAGGCTGAAGGCTAATACTCAAACACTTCCCATCGCAGCTCACAGGAGCGCCTCACACAGGTTTAGTTCACTGCAGCGAGCTGGATTTGGTGTAATGCGGAGCAGTCTGAGGATCAGCCCGCAGGATCGGTTCTGACCAAAGACAGCTCAGAAATCCTTTAATTAGAAACTACCAGACATTTTTCTTCATCAAAGCCAAAGCGAGGTTGTTAACGGCAGTTACATCAGACGTTACAGGCATCACACGTATCAAACAATGCTCTTGCTCAGGCCGGCATGAGAGCGTGGGAATTACTCAGCCGTTAATTGGGTTTCAAGTGTTTGTTTCAGTCACCGAATGAGCCACAGGCTGCACGACTGTCACAGATTCATTTAGGAATGCAATCAGTGGTGTAATGCCCAACCAGACGGTTTCATCACAAACAAACCTGCTGAACCTGTGATAAAGCGCAGCTAGAAAGGTTTGTGAACTCCATCAGAGATGAAGAGGGTCATGATTTTCATTATCACGATCTCAGTGTTGTGTGAAACAGGTGTAACTCATGAACAGCGTTATTTGTGTCGTGCAGCGATGTACTGAGTGTGACAGTACTGAATAAATAGTATAAAGATATTCGTAATGCCTTATAATACACATTGTGTATATCCTACCATTTAAAAGTTTGGGGTCAGTACGATTTTTTAAAACACTTTTAGTCAGTGCGAATGCATTTATTTGATCAAAAGTGACAGACATTTATAGTGTTAAAAAACATTTCTATTTAAGATAAATTATCTTATTTTAAACTTTCTATTCATCAAAGAATGCAGTAAAAAATGTAGCATGGTTTCCACAAAAATATGAAGCAGCACATCTGATTTCAGCAATGATAATAATTTAGAAATCAGCATATTAGAATGATTTCTGAAGGATCATGTGACACTGAAGAGTAATGATGCTGAAACTGCAGCTTTTATCACAGGAATAAATACAATTGTACAATATATTTACATAGAAAACAGTTATTTTAAATGGTAATAATATTTCACAATATTACAGATTTTACTGTCATTTTCACCAAATAAATGCAGCCTTGGTGAGCAGAAGAGGCTTCTTTCAAAAACGGTAAAAAAAATCTTACTGACCCCAAACTTGTGTGCATGGTAAGAAAGACCTCAGAGAAAAATGTATCATATTGTTAATGACTTGTTTGTTTGTTTTCCTCTTAGTTGGTTTTATATAGTGGTGGTGCCAGTTACTACATCCACTCTACGCCGTTGGGAAAACCCGGAGGATATGGATCTGGATGAGGTGAGTTTGTGTTTGTGATGATCACGTAAAAAAAGCAAACACACATTCTGTTACCTTATTTATGTTATGAACATACATCAGTATGATGCAACTACTTTGTTGTTCCACTCGTTATTTTTCATCTGTTTTTAGCGTCTCAGTTCTTCTGCATCTGTGCATCAGCTGTTGAGACACAGGCACTTTGAGGGCTCTTAAAAAGCTTCTCTTGGCGTTTTTGCATTTTTGTTATTACTACTGAGCTTTCGGGCTCCAACACATTTCTGCTTTCTCATGAGTTTGCTTGCTCTCAATAAACTAACGTCTGCAAAATAGGGGAAACTTTTCAGGTGCTGCCTACTGAATATCAAAACACAGCGGCACTGTAAAAGTCACAATGGTGTCACCAGCATTTTGAAACAGCCCATTTTCACGCAGCCGTTCTCCCCCGAGTTACCCCTTATTTATGAGCGTTGCCGAGTCAAATGAGAGCTGTGTTATTGGATCGCGTGTTGTGCTGGTGTTTATCACTGTGCTGATGTTATACTCGCTGCAGTCCTCGTTCTCTCTGCTGCTAGAATCCATTTGTTCAGCTGCAATCCTACAACCTTGGATTTGAGTCAGTCTCCAACAAATGTGCTTTACTAAAGTGAAATAAACTGAGGTCTGTCGGTTATTATGGTTGTGGAGAGAAAGAAATGAGAGGAAGAGTGAGGGATGGAGATACAGAGGAAGTGGTCTATAAAGAGACAGATACAGGTACTGGAGACAGTGTGTGTGTCATTTTGAATTAATGATGCCTGTGACTGAAGCACCTGAGGCTGGTATCTATCTGACCTCTGGGTCACAGTCCAGCTGTTTCATGGACTGAAAGTACCAATCAGCAGTTCAGCACAGACCTTGAGGACTGCTGGAAAATATATTAATATATTGTTCAAAAGTTTGAGGGTTGGTAAAATTGTTTAATGTTTATGAAAGGAGTCTCTTCTCCTCACTAAGGCTGGCTTCATTTGATCAAAAATACAGTAAAATCAGTAATAATGTAAAATAGTATTACAATGTAAAATAACTGTTTTCTATGTGAATATATTTTAAAATGTCATTTATTCATGTGATGCAAAGCTGAATTTTCAGCATCATTACTCTTCAGTGTCACATGATCCTTCAGAAATCATAATAATTTTCTGATTTGCTGCTCAAGAAACATTTATTATTATTTATATAATGTTGAAAACAGTTGAGCTGCTTCGTATTTTTGTGGAAACCGTGATACATTTTTTCAAGATTCTTTGATTAATAGAAAGTTCAAAAGAACAGCATTTTTTTTTAAAAATCTAAATATTTTTATAACATTATAAATGTCTGTACTGTCACTTTTAACCAATTTAATGCATCCTTAAAAGGTAGTGTACGTGTATGTGCGTGTGTGCGTGTGTGTGTGTGTGTGTGTGCACCTTATATATCTTGTGTATGTTATTGTATATGTTTTTCCCAGTGTATTGAGATCATTTTACTGATGTGCTTCATGTGAGGTGTTCTCTGTGCTTTATCAGCTTTTGGGGAGTAATGGAGACTCAGGTGTGAGGAAGAGAAGGAGGAGACAAACTCAGGACTTCCTGCGACCTTACATCGCTGCCAAGCTGGAGTTTCTTCCAGAAACCTTCGTGTTAGGAGACGAGAAAACCTACAAAGGCTTCTATAACAAACCTCTACCTGGACAGCAGCAGTATCGCACATTTATAATGGCGGCACTGAAAGACCGGGACTCGGTGAGCCATACACACACACACACACACATACATATACTGGTTTCCATTTTTTTGTGGGGACATTCCATAGACAAAATGTTTTATATATTGTACAAGCTATTTTCTGTCCCCTTACCCTAACCCTATTCCTAAACCTACCTCTCATACAAAACTATCTGCTGTTTTAGATTTTCAAAAACTTCATTCTGTATGATTTATAAGATGGTTTCCTCATGGGGACCAAAACAAAATGTCCCCACAAGGTCAAAATTTACTGGTATTACTATACTAGTGGGCACGTTTGGTCCCCATAACGTAGGGAATGTATTTAGTGTGACCCAGGGTAATAATAGTAATACTAAATAATACTAAAATAATAAATAATACTAAAACTAAAGGCAACACTTCTCATTTAGTTTAACTTTATGTACTAAAATAACTAAACTGAAACTGAAGTAAAGATAATATAAACTAAATAGGCATTTGAAAAAAAAAAAACTGAAAAATAATACAAATGACACACATCAGAATTACTTAATCTGTAAATAAAATTAAAATGGGAAATCTAAAAAAATGTAAATAATAATTCAAAATATTAAAAACTATAATAATACACTGCAAAATATGATTTTCTTACTTTGTATTTTTGTTTTCCATTACAAACATTTAAATATTTGTAAATCAAGAAACATTTACTTGAGAAGATATTAAGTTTTGTTTTCTGAAAAATGTTTCAAAATTAAGTGAGTTTTTTCTTAAAATGAGAAAATATCTTCTAATGACACAAGAAAAATCATCTTGTTTTCCCTTTAAATTAAGATGATTTTTCTTACCCTATTGGCAATTGGCAGATATTTCTTATTTTAAGCAAAAAGGTTTTTTTCTTTTCTTTTTTTGTCAGAAAACAAGACCTAATATCTTAAGTCATTTTGCTTTTCAAGTAAATGTATCTTGAGTACGAAAATCATTTTTTGCATTTCAGTGATTCTAAAACACTGATCTGACCAAAAGTATAATCAGCCTGATTTTTCATTCTCAAATCTTAAATTTAAATCCTCAAAAAGAAAGAATGAAAGGAGAGGATCAGAGAAGAAAAAAAGAGGAGAGGATGAGAGGGTCTTGTGAAAGGACAGTCTGCGGTGGGCTGGTAAACAGACTAGCGAGTGTGAAATTGGATGAAAAAGGTCGATTGCAAAACAACCGTAGCACTTAAAGAAAAACAGATTAGAGGAGGAGGAGATGAAAGAAAGATAGAGAAGGAGACATCGCATGAAGGACTGTGGCAGATCAGCAGAGAGTGTGACGGCGGAGGAGAGAGAGATGCTATCATTAATGCTGGAGAGACCTGAGCATTACAGATGAAGAGATGGACGAGAGGTGAAGGAGGAATCAAAACACACATGAATATGCATCAGTAAATAGTGGCTGCATGGAGTCAGTCAGAGATGCATTTCTCACGCTGTGGGATGCGCTTCCATCTGAGGTAGTGCCGATTAAATTGATCACTATGAAAGTTTCCCACTGACAGATTCCCACAGTGCTTTTAGACGCTTCCTCACTCTGCTGTCACGCCGGCGCTCATCCTGTTGCAGAGAGAGACAGAGGTGATGATCATAATTTCATCATTAATTCATGTCAGATTGTGAATTAATTTTAAAGAGATAGTTGTTTAAAAATGAAAACTCTGTCATCATTTACTCACCATCATGCACAGCAAAGAATTATTTTTAGTACTTATGATATTGTCTTATTTTCTGAAAAAAAAAGAAAAAAGTTCATGCTAAAAACAAGATCTGTCTGTAGGGTCAAAAAATAAACTTAATTCAAAGGGAAAACAATTATTTCTCAGTGCACTGGCATATTTTTATTGTTTTAAGCATAAAATCACTACATTTTGATTTTTTATTTATTTATTTTTTTTCAGGAAACAAGACTTAAAGGGGTCATATGATGATTTTTCCTTTCTCTTTGGAGTGTTACAAGCTCTTGGTGCATAAAGAAGATCTGTAAAGTTGCAAAGACTAAAGTCTCAAATCCAAAGAGATATTCTTTATAAAAGTTAAGAGTCAGCCACGCCTACTTAAAACGGCTCGTTCTAACACGCCCCCACATGTCTATGTCACGATGTGGGAAGATTTGCATTACACCGCCCAAATGTTCACGCAAAGAAACGCGGTGTAAATTTTATTCTCGCTGTAGTATTGTTGTTGCTGCCGCCATGTCGTGAAGATGCTGTGTGTTTCGTTGTGAAAGCGAAACTACTTTGTTTGGTCTTCCAAAAGAGGACGATATCTGCTTCGTCATGCCTAGAGCTGATCTGTGCTGGTCGCTGAGGAAATACATCAACTTCACGCTGTGGATCGCCGGATCGGCTTTCACCGTGGACGAAGCGGAGTCCAGCCCGGGGTCGTCACATGCGGTTGCCGCAAGCCCTCCGGGCGCTCCTTCATCGAATCTGCCGGCCGCGCCGTTCTCAAGCCTGCCCGCCGCCGGTCACTCTAGCCTGCCGTGTGTGACGCTGTGTTTCATTGTGAAAGTGAAACTACTTTGTTTGGTCTTCCAAAAGAGGACACAATTAGAAGTCATTTTTGGGTGAACTGTGGGTTTGTGCGCTGAGACTCCTCTGAGACTCTGTGTTTGTGCTGCACTACTGTAAATGAGTTCTGGGCAGTGATGGTTTCTGTGGTTCCTGGTGTCGCTTCCGGAGGGAATGCAGAAGGTGTAGCACTGATGGGATTTAGTTGATGATACATATCCTTTGCTTCTCAGCGGGATGGAAGAGGTTACCCCTCCCTCAGCCCTTTCTCTCTCTCTCTCACACTCCCTCTATCTTCCTGTTTCCATCCCTCTATCTCCTGCACCGCGCTGTGCTGTCTAAAAGGTGTTATTAAGACGATTAGTTGCCAGCGTTTGTGGAAGGAGCCTGACTTCTGTGCAACTTTGAAGATGTGAAGGTTTCCTTCTGCTCTGCCCAAACACCCATCAATAGATTTTCAGTTTGTATGTGATCACTGAACGTCATAAAACATCACATTGAGGCTGACAGTGACAGTGTTGACACGCATATTGACTGTCTCATAAAAAACAAATTTTTACCTACAAAATTTTTACCTGCAACCTTTAACATTTTTATAGGAGATGGCATAGACAACACCAAAGACAAAATCTATTTTTGCTTGATCTCTGTCACATCCTCTAACTATAGAGCCTGTATGATGCATTACAATAATGTTCATAGTATCATTTTAAGGTGACCTATTATGCCCCTTTTTGTGACCTCGGCATCCTGGCCAAATTTGCCCATTGGCCTCTGATCATCATGGCCTCCTAACAATCCCCATATCTACTGATTGGCTTCATTGCTCTATCTCCTCTCCACCAATAAGCTGGTGTGTGCGGTGGGCGTTCTGGCGCACTATGGTTGCCATCACATCATCCAGGTGGATGCTGCACACTGGTGGTATATGAGGAGATACCCCTGACAATGTAAAGTGCTTTTAGTGCCTAGAAAAGCGCTATATAAATGTAATTAATTATTATTATTATTATTTACAATATGTAAAATAAGTTTCTGATGTCTCCAAAGTGTGTATGCCAAGTTTTAGCTCAAAATACCCCACAGATAATTTTTTATAGCTTGTTGAAATTGTCACTTTTAGAGTATGAACCAAAACACAGCATTTTTGTGTTTGTCCCTTTAAATGCAAATGAGCCGGTGCTCCCACCTCCCTTTTCAGCAGAGGGAGGAGCTTCAAGAGCTCATGCTACGGCATCAGACAACATGGTAGCTTTAGCAACATTAGCCTTACAGAGAGCTCTTTTGGAAAACAAAATATGATGCATTTGTGAGGCAGTCCGGCGTAAAATGATTAGCACAAACATATAGGACTTTTCATTTTTTTCTGCGACATTTCCTTCAAAACTGAAATTTAACCACCGTGTCCTTAGCAGTCTATGGAGACTCCTATGTTCGTTGGTGCATCCCAAAAAACTACACTTGTAATGCCTCTTTGGCGCTGAGCAGCTACAGCAAGAAAACCGTAATGGCGGACTGCTGCTTCTCTCTCAGGGCTGTGTCTATGCTAATAGGGTAGAGATTGTCACAAATGGGCAGGACTTTACCTAGTATGATGTCATTAGGGAGAAATCTGGAACCGCTCGTTACAAAAAAAAATGAGTGGGTGGATTTTTACCATTATAGACTGTTTGTTTTCACACACTGTGGCCAGACAACTGTGTTCAAACACCTTATAAAAGTGATTTTTGCATAAAAGGTCACCTTTAAGTATTCACTTTCTAGTTTTATAGACATATATCTAATTATATAGGCATATATAATGTATGTCCACTTGTTCATATGTATGAATTTCTTTACAAAACTATTATTTATTTATTCATTCATGCAGGCATGCTTAAATAGGTGAGTTTTGACCAGATGATAAAGGAAAAGCATTGTTTAAAGTTGTTTAAGAGTCTTCTGATGACCTGAGTAAACTAAGCTGGAATCTAAACAAAGAGATTAGAAGAACTAAAGTTTAAGAGAGTTTTAATTTATTTATTACAGGATTTCCCAAACATGGATTTGTGAGTTGATGAAAACCTAACAATTTATTAAATCATAAAATGTCAAATTGAAGAAAAAGAAATGTTGACATTTACTTAAATGCACTTATAAACACTTATTAAAAAAAGATAATCATTTAAAAAAATATATTAATGCAATTACTGAAATATTAAATAAAAAATTAATATCTGAGGTCAAAGTATTCACAAAAAAGTTTGAGAATCCCTGAATTAAGTATCTAAAGAAAGTGTTTAAAAGAACCAACATTTCGGAGAGTTTTCATTTACAGAGTTTCCCAAACTGCGATTCATGAGAACCGAACAATTAAATTAAAAAAAATAATGTAAATAATAATAGTAATAATAATGATTATGTAAACATTTACTTAAATACACTTACTAAAAAAAGACAAACATTAAAATATAAAGATATATATTTTATGTTTACTTGCATGTCATGTGACCATTAACTGACCTCAGAGAACCGTGAACTTGCAAATGTGTTTTTAAATTATTGAAATATTAAATTAAAAATAAATATAACAAAAAGTTTGAATGTATTTTATTACTGCATAATTCCCTTAATTCTGTTTGTACTGTATTATGTCATAGTTTTGATGACTTTAATGTGGAAATGTGGAAAGTAGTCCTAATAAAGAATGTGTGTTTTGATCTTTTGAGTAATTCTTCTCTTTTCTCCATGCTCTCTTTCTTTCTGTATCATAAGATGTTCACGGTGAGCCCTTACTCTGATCCCATGATGGTGAAGCTCCACAGCGGGATGTCCCATCATGTTGAGGACCCAGAGATGCTGTGGGTGATGGGACCAGTGCTGGCCGTCGTCCTCATCATCATCATCGTCATCACCATCCTGCTCTTCAAGAGGTACTATTACTTTACTGAAAAATACAATCAGTCATCCAGCACTGAGATTGTTTGTATTGCATTCTGCTTTAGTGACCATATTTTCTTTTTCGCCGTGCGTAGCAAACTAGAGTTTACTGTACTTCCTCCTGTCAGGTATAAATAGCCAGTCTCTCTCAGAGACACTGCTGACTCAGTGTAAGAGCAGAAAATCAAAAATCTTATTTTAGTATGACAGTCAGCAGTTTACTTTTTTCTTAGAATACTCTTTTTCTGAACACTTGGACAGAACTTTATTGATAAAATAATGGTAGTATATTTTTTAACTAGACTGCAGAAATAATATTTGATTGCACACCTAACAAAAATCTGATCTCCCCAAATTACATCAAAGTCACAAAATCCCCAAATCCATTTGGCCTTATTGAAGAGTGCAGGACAATCAAATGCCTAGAGTTCAAGTTAGATGTCTATTGAGTGAAAAGAAAACTCATTTTGCAAATGTCAGCTCGAATTGGAGCTCATTAGTAGCAATGGCATTTCCACATTTCTGACAAATTCACCCTACACGCACCGCCTGTGCCGTTTTCTTCCTGTGACATTTTCTCTTTTCTTCCCTCTACTTTTCCATTTCTTTCCGTGGGATGCAGCAAACAGGAGAGGTGGGTATTGAGCGGCTCTCTTTGATCTGATAATAAACGCTTGTTTGTGTTTGGTGTTTAATGAGAGGCAATTGAAGAGTTTAATTGAACTCAGATTAGTGCTACTGCTCTCTAACACATACTAACACACAGGAAATATCAGTAACACTTTACAGTAAGGTGCTATTAGTTAACGTCTCGGTTACGTACGTAGGGAACGGAGACTCCGGGTCTCACTTGAGAGCCCCAATCACCTCTGAGCATTACAAGAAACGGCCAATGACAATTGGCGAGTAGAATTTGCATGCCAAGCCACTCCCCATACATACGGGTATATAAGATGGCGGCGTGCATCCACTCATTCAGGTTTGTGCAGAGGAGCCGAGAAAGCATCCCGCCATTCAGCACAGTTCACGGTTGTAGCATGAGGGATGTATGTCTCCGTTCCCTCCTTCAGGAAACAAGAGTTACATACATAACTGAGATGTTCCCTTTCAGTCAGTCACATTCAATGTTATGTCGATACTGACGTTAGAGGTCCCTATGAAAAGTGCCACAACCAGAATTGTGTTACGAAAATTGAAGGAGCAGGTGCTTACAAGTAAGCGTGTCTGGACAGATGTACCTCAATCTGTAACCTGCCCAACACCCCAAAAGCCAGATCACATAACAAGTATATAAGCTTACCAAAAAAGGGTTGTTCTGACATTCTCACAATACTAGATTTCAGCAACCGTTGGGGTGCGGAGACACATTCAAATAGGAATGTGAATAGTGAGACTGGTCACAGCACAGCCAAACAAACTGTCGGACCCCAGTTCAGGGGAACACAACAGGGACTGACAGTAAACAAACTGTCTAGGGAAAACACGAGTTTACCAAGGGAAACTGTATCATGGAAGAACATACAGGATTACCAAGGGAATTTCATGTATGGCATTAAATCCAGTAAAAGGGGGTGACTAATGGCGTGCAACCCAAATACTGGATGCAGTTACAGACTCCTCCGCTAAGTCTGAATGCCACAGGGTGTTGGAGGAATCAACCAGGATTCACCAGATGAGGAACGTACTGAAAGAAGATAAACACACATGTCCTAACCAGAGGAATGGTGCTGCAAGCAAGACACCAAGCCAGACCTCCTGCAAATTACCTGTTTATACCCAACACATGGGAGGAAACTGGCTCCACCCGGAGATATTAGACTCTCATGAAGGTATTAGGTGTTGCCCAGCCCGCAACTCTGCAGATATCTGCTAGAGAGGACCAGTACACCAACACCCAGGAGGACACAACACTCCGAGTGGAATGAGCTCTCACCCCCAGGGAGCACGGTTCGCCTTGTGCCTGGTACACCAAAGCGATGGCATCCACTAGCCATTGGGCCAACCTCTGCTTGGAGACAGCCTTCTCCTTATGCTGTCCTCCAAAGCAAAAAAGAACTTCTCAGAGCATCTCAAGCTCTGGGTGAATTCCACGTAAATGTGCAAAGTGCGAACGGGACACAGCAACACAAGGGCTGGATCTGCCTCCTCCAAGGGCTGCACTTTCAAGTTCACCACCTGGTCCCGAAAGGGAGTGGTGGGAACTTTGGGCACATAATCGGGCCAGGACCTTAAAATGGCATGAAAATCAGCCGGCCCAAACTCAAGGGACGATTCGTTGATAGAAAATGCCTGCAGGTCCCCAACCCTCTTGATAGATGTGAGCACGACCAGGAGCGCTGTCTTAAATGACAGGAATTTGACATCAAGCGGCTCAAAGGAGGCTCCCCGTAGTCCTGCCAGGACCACAGAGAGATCCCAAGAGGGAGCTAGGCATGCCTTACAGGAACTTGATGATCAGGTCATGCTTCCCGAAGGATCTTCCCTCCACTGCATCGTGATGTCCTGCAATGGCAGTGACATACACTTTCAAAGTGGATGGGGACAGGAAGGAAAGCACAACGCTGACCGGCATCCCTCAGTGAGAGCAACACCAGTCAATGAACAGACTGCTTTTAGTGCCTAGAAAAGCGCTATATAAATGTAATTAATTATTATTATTATTATTTACAATATGTAAAATAAGTTTCTGATGTCTCCAAAGTGTGTATGCCAAGTTTTAGCTCAAAATACCCCACAGATAATTTTTTATAGCTTGTTGAAATTGTCACTTTTAGAGTATGAACCAAAACACAGCATTTTTGTGTTTGTCCCTTTAAATGCAAATGAGCCGGTGCTCCCACCTCCCTTTTCAGCAGAGGGAGGAGCTTCAAGAGCTCATGCTACGGCATCAGACAACATGGTAGCTTTAGCAACATTAGCCTTACAGAGAGCTCTTTTGGAAAACAAAATATGATGCATTTGTGAGGCAGTCCGGCGTAAAATGATTAGCACAAACATATAGGACTTTTCATTTTTTTCTGCGACATTTCCTTCAAAACTGAAATTTAACCACCGTGTCCTTAGCAGTCTATGGAGACTCCTATGTTCGTTGGTGCATCCCAAAAAACTACACTTGTAATGCCTCTTTGGCGCTGAGCAGCTACAGCAAGAAAACCGTAATGGCGGACTGCTGCTTCTCTCTCAGGGCTGTGTCTATGCTAATAGGGTAGAGATTGTCACAAATGGGCAGGACTTTACCTAGTATGATGTCATTAGGGAGAAATCTGGAACCGCTCGTTACAAAAAAAAATGAGTGGGTGGATTTTTACCATTATAGACTGTTTGTTTTCACACACTGTGGCCAGACAACTGTGTTCAAACACCTTATAAAAGTGATTTTTGCATAAAAGGTCACCTTTAAGTATTCACTTTCTAGTTTTATAGACATATATCTAATTATATAGGCATATATAATGTATGTCCACTTGTTCATATGTATGAATTTCTTTACAAAACTATTATTTATTTATTCATTCATGCAGGCATGCTTAAATAGGTGAGTTTTGACCAGATGATAAAGGAAAAGCATTGTTTAAAGTTGTTTAAGAGTCTTCTGATGACCTGAGTAAACTAAGCTGGAATCTAAACAAAGAGATTAGAAGAACTAAAGTTTAAGAGAGTTTTAATTTATTTATTACAGGATTTCCCAAACATGGATTTGTGAGTTGATGAAAACCTAACAATTTATTAAATCATAAAATGTCAAATTGAAGAAAAAGAAATGTTGACATTTACTTAAATGCACTTATAAACACTTATTAAAAAAAGATAATCATTTAAAAAAATATATTAATGCAATTACTGAAATATTAAATAAAAAATTAATATCTGAGGTCAAAGTATTCACAAAAAAGTTTGAGAATCCCTGAATTAAGTATCTAAAGAAAGTGTTTAAAAGAACCAACATTTCGGAGAGTTTTCATTTACAGAGTTTCCCAAACTGCGATTCATGAGAACCGAACAATTAAATTAAAAAAAATAATGTAAATAATAATAGTAATAATAATGATTATGTAAACATTTACTTAAATACACTTACTAAAAAAAGACAAACATTAAAATATAAAGATATATATTTTATGTTTACTTGCATGTCATGTGACCATTAACTGACCTCAGAGAACCGTGAACTTGCAAATGTGTTTTTAAATTATTGAAATATTAAATTAAAAATAAATATAACAAAAAGTTTGAATGTATTTTATTACTGCATAATTCCCTTAATTCTGTTTGTACTGTATTATGTCATAGTTTTGATGACTTTAATGTGGAAATGTGGAAAGTAGTCCTAATAAAGAATGTGTGTTTTGATCTTTTGAGTAATTCTTCTCTTTTCTCCATGCTCTCTTTCTTTCTGTATCATAAGATGTTCACGGTGAGCCCTTACTCTGATCCCATGATGGTGAAGCTCCACAGCGGGATGTCCCATCATGTTGAGGACCCAGAGATGCTGTGGGTGATGGGACCAGTGCTGGCCGTCGTCCTCATCATCATCATCGTCATCACCATCCTGCTCTTCAAGAGGTACTATTACTTTACTGAAAAATACAATCAGTCATCCAGCACTGAGATTGTTTGTATTGCATTCTGCTTTAGTGACCATATTTTCTTTTTCGCCGTGCGTAGCAAACTAGAGTTTACTGTACTTCCTCCTGTCAGGTATAAATAGCCAGTCTCTCTCAGAGACACTGCTGACTCAGTGTAAGAGCAGAAAATCAAAAATCTTATTTTAGTATGACAGTCAGCAGTTTACTTTTTTCTTAGAATACTCTTTTTCTGAACACTTGGACAGAACTTTATTGATAAAATAATGGTAGTATATTTTTTAACTAGACTGCAGAAATAATATTTGATTGCACACCTAACAAAAATCTGATCTCCCCAAATTACATCAAAGTCACAAAATCCCCAAATCCATTTGGCCTTATTGAAGAGTGCAGGACAATCAAATGCCTAGAGTTCAAGTTAGATGTCTATTGAGTGAAAAGAAAACTCATTTTGCAAATGTCAGCTCGAATTGGAGCTCATTAGTAGCAATGGCATTTCCACATTTCTGACAAATTCACCCTACACGCACCGCCTGTGCCGTTTTCTTCCTGTGACATTTTCTCTTTTCTTCCCTCTACTTTTCCATTTCTTTCCGTGGGATGCAGCAAACAGGAGAGGTGGGTATTGAGCGGCTCTCTTTGATCTGATAATAAACGCTTGTTTGTGTTTGGTGTTTAATGAGAGGCAATTGAAGAGTTTAATTGAACTCAGATTAGTGCTACTGCTCTCTAACACATACTAACACACAGGAAATATCAGTAACACTTTACAGTAAGGTGCTATTAGTTAACGTCTCGGTTACGTACGTAGGGAACGGAGACTCCGGGTCTCACTTGAGAGCCCCAATCACCTCTGAGCATTACAAGAAACGGCCAATGACAATTGGCGAGTAGAATTTGCATGCCAAGCCACTCCCCATACATACGGGTATATAAGATGGCGGCGTGCATCCACTCATTCAGGTTTGTGCAGAGGAGCCGAGAAAGCATCCCGCCATTCAGCACAGTTCACGGTTGTAGCATGAGGGATGTATGTCTCCGTTCCCTCCTTCAGGAAACAAGAGTTACATACATAACTGAGATGTTCCCTTTCAGTCAGTCACATTCAATGTTATGTCGATACTGACGTTAGAGGTCCCTATGAAAAGTGCCACAACCAGAATTGTGTTACGAAAATTGAAGGAGCAGGTGCTTACAAGTAAGCGTGTCTGGACAGATGTACCTCAATCTGTAACCTGCCCAACACCCCAAAAGCCAGATCACATAACAAGTATATAAGCTTACCAAAAAAGGGTTGTTCTGACATTCTCACAATACTAGATTTCAGCAACCGTTGGGGTGCGGAGACACATTCAAATAGGAATGTGAATAGTGAGACTGGTCACAGCACAGCCAAACAAACTGTCGGACCCCAGTTCAGGGGAACACAACAGGGACTGACAGTAAACAAACTGTCTAGGGAAAACACGAGTTTACCAAGGGAAACTGTATCATGGAAGAACATACAGGATTACCAAGGGAATTTCATGTATGGCATTAAATCCAGTAAAAGGGGGTGACTAATGGCGTGCAACCCAAATACTGGATGCAGTTACAGACTCCTCCGCTAAGTCTGAATGCCACAGGGTGTTGGAGGAATCAACCAGGATTCACCAGATGAGGAACGTACTGAAAGAAGATAAACACACATGTCCTAACCAGAGGAATGGTGCTGCAAGCAAGACACCAAGCCAGACCTCCTGCAAATTACCTGTTTATACCCAACACATGGGAGGAAACTGGCTCCACCCGGAGATATTAGACTCTCATGAAGGTATTAGGTGTTGCCCAGCCCGCAACTCTGCAGATATCTGCTAGAGAGGACCAGTACACCAACACCCAGGAGGACACAACACTCCGAGTGGAATGAGCTCTCACCCCCAGGGAGCACGGTTCGCCTTGTGCCTGGTACACCAAAGCGATGGCATCCACTAGCCATTGGGCCAACCTCTGCTTGGAGACAGCCTTCTCCTTATGCTGTCCTCCAAAGCAAAAAAGAACTTCTCAGAGCATCTCAAGCTCTGGGTGAATTCCACGTAAATGTGCAAAGTGCGAACGGGACACAGCAACACAAGGGCTGGATCTGCCTCCTCCAAGGGCTGCACTTTCAAGTTCACCACCTGGTCCCGAAAGGGAGTGGTGGGAACTTTGGGCACATAATCGGGCCAGGACCTTAAAATGGCATGAAAATCAGCCGGCCCAAACTCAAGGGACGATTCGTTGATAGAAAATGCCTGCAGGTCCCCAACCCTCTTGATAGATGTGAGCACGACCAGGAGCGCTGTCTTAAATGACAGGAATTTGACATCAAGCGGCTCAAAGGAGGCTCCCCGTAGTCCTGCCAGGACCACAGAGAGATCCCAAGAGGGAGCTAGGCATGCCTTACAGGAACTTGATGATCAGGTCATGCTTCCCGAAGGATCTTCCCTCCACTGCATCGTGATGTCCTGCAATGGCAGTGACATACACTTTCAAAGTGGATGGGGACAGGAAGGAAAGCACAACGCTGACCGGCATCCCTCAGTGAGAGCAACACCAGTCAATGAACAGACCCCAATTCGGAGCATAGGCCTGCCTGGTAGAGGGGGCCCTAGCCTGAGTGATAGTATCTATCACAGCCTGTGAGAGGCCTGAGAGGTCTCCCGCGTCCCGTCCAGAAGCCAAACATGCAGGTTCCGCAGATTGGGACATGGGTGCCAAATAGTGTCCTGCCCCTAAGAAAGAAGGTCCCTCCTCAGGAGGATTCTCCAAGGCGGGGATGTTGCAAGGAGCGTGAGATCAGAAAACCAGGTCTGGGTGGGCCAATACAGCGCAACCAACAGGACCTGCTCCACCTTACTTTAAAGTGTTACAGAAGTATCTTACATATTTACACATTCTTCTGATCTCTGTGTTTTTACTCTCATATCTGATGTCATTTCCTGTCTGCACAGGAAGCGGTCCTCTCCCTCGGCTAAAGATGAGCATTCAGCTGGAGTTAAAGATCACTTACTGGCCCACTCCTCTGACCCGGTGGAAATGAGGAGGCTCAACTACCAAACACAAGGTACGTCATGATGGATCCTTTCCATGGACTTCTGTTGTTTTAACACCGAGCTATTGAGTTACAAACCGCTCATCACATTTATAAACACACAAAGCTGTGTTTGAAAGCAATGTGGTTTTCTTTGCCTGTTGAGGGGCTATTCTTGAAAACTTGAGCTGCTCATTCGAAGCACATGAGATACAAGACTCAGGTAACTTACGTTGGTGTTTACTGTAGCATTTTTACAGTGTTTTTCTGTAAAAATAAATAAATAAATAATAGGGATAATCATTGACACGCGAGCAATAGTGAAAACTGCATAACGACGTACATAACGACGAGGTAATCATTCCTCATAGTCACACAGCCTGTTAGGAGCTGTAAATAATATTAAAGTATAGAATTAACCTGCGCTAGTCAACAGATGCACATGGCTCCGACAAACCATTCATGCGACTGCTGCGCATAAGAGGTGCTTCAGATCAATGCTGCGCTGTGCTTTCGCATAGGTTAAGTCAGTTTAGCCTCAGTCACGCTACGCGATTGAGTGCTTGACAGTTTACCGTTTATTCTGCATTTGTTGCTCTAAGCAATAAATTAATTACCGCTATAAATGCTGGCTATTTATAAGTCTGAATACATAGTTCTCAACATTCCACACACAAATTACTATGGCGTTGTTGTGTGGACAACAACATTCACACACATACAGTCGTGTTCATTAGGGTCACACTGTAAATCTGTTACTCAAAGTCTAATTTAAACATTAAAATAAACGCACTTTTAAGATTTTGAAAAGTTCTGAAAAAATACTTCAGAAGTTCTAAGGTAACATGCTCCTAACATAAGGAAATACAGCACCCACAAAGATTGGGGAAAATAGTCCATTTTTAATGCTATTGAACTATTTTATGCATACTTTTCTGTACTGACTGTACTATCATGGGCATTTCTTTACACCTGTCCATCATATTTGAATATGCATTTTGAGATCCTTAAAAGATGCATGCGATACTTCCTCAGAATGAGGTCTGAAGCATCATGATACTGCACACCTTTTGTAACGGTGCTTCTGTGATACCTTAAAATGCTCACTAGGTTTTGCAACAGAGTTTCTTTAGGAAACGGATGAGTTTGGGGTTGTTTGGATGTAGACCTCAGAAAGAGAGACAGAACTGCTCACTGGATTTATGGACGTCAGGTTCAGCTGGAGCTTCGGTGTGAAGACAAAACATTATTCACAGAGCCACACTGTCAGGTGAAGGACACACTAAGGAGCAGAACCTGCCAGCTAATCTCAAACAACACGCACACACACACCGTAGCATCAGATCGTATTGCTTCATTCGGTTCAGACTGAGCTTTGAAGTTGATGGATAGAATTAAACAGGATGATTCACTCTTTCTCACTTTCAATCCATATTTTGCACTTCTCCCTCTGTCTCTTTCTATTTTTCTCTCTTTCTCTCTCTCTTTCAGGGTACATTTCTGAATGCTCAGACATTTTGCTGACTTCAATAAGAATCTGCGAGAATCTAAGAATTTTGCTTCAGTTGCAAAGTGACTCATGTTCTTATGTCAGATTGTTGGGCTACAAGCGCACGCTCGACTGATGCGCAATCTTTCTCGTGGCGAAACTGGGAGAAATATTCATGTCAAATTCCCTGCCATGGAAATTGATTTTCCTTGCTTGCAAATCTTCAAATGAAGAACCAGACTACCAGTACTGTTGTTGTTTACTTGTGAAAGTTCAGAATTTGTGTTTCAAAAAGCTTTAGGACACTTTGAAAATGTAAAAATGGCTTACCTCACAGATAAAGAGTGTTTGTTGTGTAGATGCATGTTTGACGTTTCAGGCAAACTGCGTTTGAAAAGGCATCCGTGACGTGCAAACTATATTCCAGAACCTCATTCATACTTTGGGCCATGTCATAATAACAGTGAATAATGTGACACACAAAGTGCAATTTAAACATCCTCTTGTGTTTTGACATGCTGAAATCCAAACAGTCCTTGATTTCTGAAACAAAAGCTTTAATGTGAACTAAAGAAAGACAAAGGGCCCTATCATGGACGCAAGTGTTTTTTGCTAGTTTCAGCCCCGATGCAGTTGTCATTTTCACATCCTGCGCCACGTTGTTTAAATAGCAAATACATTTGCGCCCATTTGTGCGTCCCATGGGTGTGCTGGTCTGAAAACGAGGTGTGTTCAGGCGCATTGTTGGCGCGTTGCTATCTTGAGGCAACTGGAATAGACTGCAATATTTTTTTTGTTAATTAAAGAGCGAGTTAATAATATGTGCCTATAGGCGGGTGAACAACACGCGTACACTCTGCTTATTACAAACACAGGGACGTGCAGCAGCGCACAAACATGCCAAATATTAAAAATGAAAGGATTACATTGTAAAAGATTATTATTGTGCACCGTAGATGGTCTGCTCACATGCTTTAACCTCGCTTTAATGCTTTAACCTCCTCTCTGGAGAAGCATTCAGTCTTTGCTCTTGCAAATTCTGCCATGGCGCGAGCGCAACTGGCCTTTAAAGGGAATGGGAGATGAGATTCTGATTGGTTTATTGCACGTTACGCCCAAAACACACCCATGACTCATTAGGAGAATAGGTACAATCCTTTTGGACCATGCGCCCGGCGCGCCGACCGTTTTTCCCGTCGTTAAACTAGCAACAGTTGATTCGGACACACCCTAAGTGCACTTGCACTGTGCGCTTTAGACCATGTGCTTAGATTGTTAAAATATGGCCCAAAGTGCCTTTCATACATTAGATTTCAGTGCTTCATTCTTTAGAAGGTTGATGTAGAAATTGACCTTATTTACATTACTGTTCAAGGGTCAATGCATTCTTTTAAAGAAATGTATACTTTTATTCAGCAACAATGCATTAAACTCATCAAAAGTGACAGTAAAGGAATTTATAATGTTGCAAAAGGTTTCTGTTTCCACTAAATGCTGTTCTTTTGAATTTTTTATTCATCAAAGGATCCTGAAAATAAAATGCATCATGGTTTCCACAAAAATATTAAGCAGCTATTTTCAACATTGATAATAATCAGAAATGTTTATTGAGCAGCAAGATATATTCAAATACCAAACAGATATTTTGAATTGTAAAAATATTTTACAGTATTACAATTTTTTACTTGACTTTTGATCAAATAAATGCAGCCTAGGTGAGTAATTTCTTTCAAAATCATTAAAAATCCCAAATTCATGAACTGTAGTGTATTTTTTTAAATATATGTATATATGTATGGATTTATATTGGAACTTCTGAAACTACTTGGTTGCTGAAACTAATGCAACCAAGTTTAATGTGATGGGGGAAAAATAATATTAACCAGTAATTTCTCAGCCAACTTCTTAATCTAATCAAAACGCCCCACCCTACATTATTTCTGTCATGACAACTCTCTAAGAGTTTAGCATGGTAATATACATGTTAATGTTAATGTGTTTGGTCTTGGTGGGAAAGATCTGCTACGCTGCTGCTGCTGCAGAGCAAGTACAGAGACTTGCTACTGCCAGTACATCCACAGACATGCTGTTGTGAGCATGTAGGAAATACTGCTGCTGCACATATAACATATATGAAATAACCCCCATATATAAAATACATGAAATTATACAGGTGGAGCTGGGGAAGGTGGAGGGTTTCTGAAGCGTGCTGCAACTGCTACAGCAAGCACTAGCCAAGTATTTGAATGTTGAGCAGCAAGCTCATTGGCCCATTGGTGAATAATGATGTGATTATATCAGATTGAGTTAGAATCTGCACAGTCTATTTTGTTTCAATCAAAATTATGTCATATTACGGAAGTTAAATATGTTGGGGAAACAGTTTCATGTTGTCTTCTTCCTCTCATGGGTGTTTCTCTTGCTCTTTCTGCACATACTCTTTCCTCTTCCTCTCTCTTCTGTAAGTGACATATATCACAGTCCCTCCTCATCTTCTTTCTGCAGGTTCCAGTGCCTCCAGCTGCCCCACTACTTCAAGTTAGTTTCACTCTTGCTTTCCTGTGTGAACTTTCACTACCTTCATCTCTATGCTCCTCCTCCCTGTCCATCAAGACCAAAGCCACGCCGCCTCCACCACTTTGGCTGCTCTGAGTTAAAGCTTCACCATCTCTCACGTCCTTTCCACAGGCTGTCCGTCTCAAACACCTCAGTTGAGCAGATGTGGGATGGGAGGGAAAACAATCTGTGTTATTTAACATGTACTCAGGTTGTAGTCCTTCTGTGTAAAATGCCGGTGTCATTTACTTGCCATTTTGATTGTACAGGACAGCTTACGCCACCTTGCTATTGACTCGGAAGCGGTTCATATTTCAGCCAATGAGCATGTCCGTTCACTGCTTACATCACTGCCACTGGTCTTAGCACATAGCATGGTGCAAAAATAGTTTTTTCTCTTTTGCCTTCTATTTTTCTCATGCTTTGGGTTGTTTTCATGTGTGCCCATCTTCCAAAAGCCTAAAAACTGTGTGGATCAAAGTGTGTTTGTTCCTCAGTTCAGCCAACCAAAACCAAACAGGCCAATACAAATCTCTGCTATCAGTTCATCCTCTCTTTCTCCCTGCAGGAATGCGGGAACACCCTCCAATTTCTGTCTGTGCTTTGGCTGACCACATCGAGCGGCTGAAAGCCAATGACGGCCTACACTTCTCACAGGAATATGAGGTAACTCTTCCCAAGTCACGTCAGAGTGTCCGTCTAAACAACTTTGAGGAGAATTGTTCTCCCTCTCTACCTTCTGTTGAAACCACCGAGGGATAATTGCTCGACGTCCTGCAAACATCAGCAATTTACATACAAATGTCTACTAAGTTAAATCAGGACAATAAGGGGAGGAGAAAGCTGGAAAACACTTGTGCTTCTTCCAGCCTACATCTGCATGTGTGGAATATGTAAATTGTAGAACAGAACAATGAAGATAAGAGTGAAGAAGTTTCCTCTAACAGTGAGGAAACAGTGGATTTATTATGGCTGTACATTTAAAGCAGATCAGTTATAAATAGAGCTCCAAACTGCAGTTATGGTGAAGCCTAAGCACATTCTTAGTTTAATTGTGCTAATCATATCACTAACTATTCATTTCAAAAGTTTGCTGTCAGTAATAAATGAATATTTTATTCTGCAAGAATGCATTCAATTGTTCAAAAGTGACAGTAAAGACATTTGTTAATGTTACAAATATTACTATTTTAAATAAATACTGTTCTTTTGAACTTTTTATTCATCAAAGAATCCTGAAAAAAATTTATCACGGTTTCCACAAAAATATTCGGCAGCACAACTGTTTTCAACATTGATAATAATGAGAAATGTTTCTCGAGCAGCAAATCAGCATATTAGAATGATTTACTG